GGAAAATGTCACATCCAAACTGGACCTACAACTTTCTTATTCTCGTGTCATAGGAAGCACTTATGGGAGAGGCCAATCGAAGTTATTACAAAGAGGTATGACTGGTGTCCTCTATGTCCTCATACACTAGAGAGATCATGTCGTTATATAATCGAGGATCTGTTGGGTAAGAAATTTCCATCTCAGCGACCTAAATTCTTAGAAGGATTACATCTTGACGGTTATAATAAGGAATTGCAACTGGCCTTCGAATTTAATGGTAGGCAACACTATGCTCTCAACCCGATGTTTCATAAGAGAGGGGGAATAGATTTGGATGAGCAAAGGAAGCGCGATCAAAAAAAGCGGAATATCTGTAAGGAGCAAGGTATATGCCTCATCGAAATTCCATATGACGTAGATCTTTATAACTTTATCCGAGGATCTTTAATCAAGAACGGCTATCTCCAAGACCGTCCCAATTGATAATGGTATATTTCGAAAATGCTCTGGTTTTGAAATCACATGGTTAACAGTTTGATAATGATATTTTTGGATAAATTCATCTGGCGAATATTCAAGATTTTCCATATCTACGATTTGCAATTCTTCCCTCTTGAATGGTCTACGAGGATTACGTCCCATTAAATGTTTTGTAGATTCAATCGCTTCCTTTTCAAGATAATATAAGACTGGCTGTGGCGGATTTTTCCCAACAACGACTTTTCTGATTTTATAAATACGTAATGACCAATATGGATCAGTTCCACGACGTCTGTGACCTCCTTCCAATTCTCCGGGTTTAAATAAGTATCGAACAGAAGTACCCTTTGGTAGTGTTATCTCATCTTCTCCGATCGGTCTCTTGGGTTTTATGGAAGGTTTAGATATCACTTTTTCCAACGTCATAGCATGGGATGGGGTCATTCCGATTAATCATGTAGGACTGTTGTTCATATAGTCAAAAATTACTTCGAGAATCATATTCCATAACGTTGAGCGCTCTCCTGCTGTTAATTTAGATTCTATTGCATATTGGATCTTGTATATTTTTTCCACCAATCTTCGCTTTAATGCTTTAACCAATGCTAGACTTTCAAAGCTATAAAGATCAACAACCCAGATAGAAACATTATATCGTTGCATTCCCCGCGAAAAATGTCCAGAGAACTCTTTACCGCCATCTAGCATTAATAATTTTGGCCATGTAAGGGGGCACGTAGAATCTTCATATATTTCTTTTATAGCATTCCAAACTTCTAGACTATTTTTTGATGTTAACGAGCGTCCACTTTTATAACGCGTAGCAACGTCTATTACCACTAAAGTATAAAGATATATTTTTTCACCATCCTGATCGTCATAACCATGGGCCAACAGATCGCACTGATGTACTTTGTTAGGAATAGATATCTTCTGAAACCCTGCTCCGGCTTTGCATTTTTGCGGAAAGAGATATATTTGACGGACGAACTGATGATTAAGCCAGGATTCAATATCAATAAGGCGAAATCTATAACCTTCTTTTCTGCACGCGTCTAACAATTTTTTGTCATTCAAATAAAATCCAGGTACATGATAGTAAATTAGACGAAGAACGATTTTTAATTCCTCGTCAGCGTTAATTATAATACTAGGTATACTCATTTTTGATGCATTTTAATGTGAACTATAAAAATAATGGATTATAATTTCGATCCAGCATATCTACAACTGCTAGACACCAATCGAGAGTTACGTAAAGATTTGGGTAAAGAAGTAGACATAAACCGTGAAAATGAGAAAAAAATTCGTAGTCTCATCAAGGATCTTGAATATTGTAAGAAAACCATTTCATTTCAGGATAACACTATTATAGCACATGAAAAGGAAATACAGGAACTTAAATCTCAAGTTTCCGATCTTAAAAAACGTCTTCAATCCGCTCTAAAGGATGTTGATAAAAAAGAGGGATTTCTACTCAATCGCGAGCGACAGTTGACTATACTCGAAGACGAAGTGATCATATTAAAAAATAAAATTCAAAAAAATACCTCTCGGAAGTATAATAAACCTGTAATGGCTCAAACAATTCAAGCGCCAGGATCCAATGAATCCCAGACCACATATGAATCTGTTCGAAATGCATTCAGGAATATTGATGCTATATTACGGAGAACACCTGCCATCCCACGATCTACTATAGAAAATGAATTTACCGATATTAAAAATGCTGTAGCTAGGCTTCGAGATATAGCTGAGTGGGAAAACACCCAATCACAAA